GTCCCGATTGGGAGAGGCTTGTGCTGCTGCAGCAGCAGCACTCACCAGACATGAGCTCTGCGTCTGGCACCCTCCCAAGGGGAGTGGCCTGCGGGATTGGGTTGAAACCAGCTCTCTGGCATCCCCTGAGGGGTCCTGCATTGCAAGAGAGCTCAGGCCAGGCTGAGGGACCCCACCGGTGCACGATCGGGCCGGGGAGGGACCATGGGAGGACTCCAGGGCGTGTCTGGCCCATCTCACTCAGTCCCAACTGACCAGACCCCAGCAGCAAGCTAACCTACTGATCGGAGCATCTGCCCTCTGGTGGTCAGTGCACGTCATAGCAACTGGTCAGCCAGTTTACTGCCCCCTGGTGGTCAGTGCATGTCATAGTGAGCAGTTGAGTAGCCTTAACATATCATTAGCATATTGCTCTTTGATTGGTTGTTCAGTTGTTCTGCCATTTGGTCTATTTGCATATTACCCTTTTTTTGTATAGGATAACAGTTAACACAGTAGATTGTGCAGAGGAAATGACACCTAGGATTCTCCAAAGACCATCAGTTGCAGCATAGAGCCCTAACCTCAGACTTTCCATCTGCATTCCTTTCCTGAATCATTTTCACCCTCACTGATGTTTCCTCCACCTCTTCTTTCAAATATAGGGTGTATATCTGAGTTGTCCTCCAGTTTTTCTCTTCACTATCAGAATACCCTTCTTGGTTTCCTTAAGATTGCTGCTAAGCAACCAAGTCAAGAAGGTGATGGCCTTTCTTTTCTGTCTACCCCTTCCTGAGCCACCCAGTAGGAGATGTCTCTAAAGGGACCAAGATCATTTTGAGAGTAACTCGAAGATCCTGAGGCTGTTGCACCCCTAAAGCATGTTCCCTGTGATAGGCCCTAGCCTGACCCTGACCCAACCCCTTGTCTACTTAGTTTCATTCCCCCCCTTCTTAGAAAATATTCTTTTAAAAATGCTTCAGAATTATTTTTATGTATATAAATGCAAATAATATATATGTATACTCTTGAAAAAAATTTCACACACTACAGATCTAAGGTAAAATTTCTCTGGAATCTATGCCTGGCCTCTGTCCACTACTCAGGAGAGGTAATACCTGTCCTCTCCTGTATTCTTTCTCTCTCTCTCTCTGTCTCTCTCTGTCTCTCTGTCTCTCTGTCTCTCTCTCTCTCACACACACACTCACACACACACACACACACACACACA